CGGTGGAAGTTTCGGAAAATTGAAATCACCGGTGCATGCGTTAACGACGTCCCGTCGGTTTTCGACGTCAAACGACACGGGGCGAAATTAACAGTGCTCGCGAAATTCGCCGTAAGGGCTGCGCGGGGGCGGCAGTGACGGCCTGAAAAAGACCTGGACGGTTCCTCCGGTGTGTTTACCATGCAAAGTAATTCTATGCATTTTGAGGAGGCGGCGTTTCCGGTAATGCCGCGGCTCTTGCTCTCGGAACCGGTGAAATCTCCACGAAGGTGGTGTAAAAATCGTTCGGAATTTGCAGAAATGCAACTGCACGTGTTCCACAGATAGAGTGAATGAGAAATTTTGTAAAAATATCCCTAGAAATTTCTTCGTTCTAATAACACCGGGTTTTTGAGGTTATATCTGAGACACGTACTCAAAATGGCTGTCACTGCCGAGTTCAACGAAATAACTATCACTTTCTAATGTCGATAATTCAAATTGTGCAATTTAAATTGCAATTATCGAGTTGACGCGCAATTATCGAGTCATTTATTAATGTTAAATATTCTTTCACGACGAAGTCGAAACAGTGGCGAGCGGAAAAGCGTATTAATTTCGCGGTTTTGGAGTCGCGAAATTTCTCGCGCGTCGTAAATATCGTTTATTAAGCGACGGCGACGAGTTAAAATTTCAGCGAGCTTCGCAGCGGCCCTGCAACGCGCGAAAATTATGTAACAACGAGGATCAATTTTCCAGCGCCTCTATCTCCTATTTCCCGCATTTTCCAGCGGAAATTTCGCGCCGATGGCCATATAAAAATGAAACGAGTATTCCGACTATCCGAAGTAGTTCCAAGTATCTCTATTCGCACTTGCTAAAAGCCTACGACTTCTCTTCACTGACACGTCGCACCACGAAACACGGTTCTTCGTCCAGCATTGTTCTCCAGTCAGCACGTGGGAAAAAGGCGTCAGGACATGTCAGTCAGTGAGACAAAGCAACGAAACGTCCTCGTGACGCCTAACTTCGACGATCATCGAGTGAATCATCGTCAATCAGGCGGGTAGCGAACGTCGTCTGCCGTTACCCACGCAGAATTAAGCCAGACATCGGGCTGTGCATGCTTACAAGTTCGCCACCCTGGCGCTGGGAAAGGTGTTAAAACGTCGCGAGGAAAGGGAGCCGATGAATCGTTAACAGTTCGACGCGCCCACCGCGTTACGTCACTTCCTTCGCTGGCAGGTTTAAGCAGTCAGAAGACCGTCTCAGACAGGGATTAGGCGTTCGCAGGGTTTCTATAAATAATGCAACGTTTAACCTCGCATCGGGGGATCGGTCCTGTAGCCCCCGCCCCCAGGACCATGTCCCCGGGAACGACGTTTTAAAGTCGCCATGCAAATGATCGAACACAGGCCAGCTCGTGGATTACCGTGAAGTCAGCCTTTCCGGGTGAATTTAGATGTACCTCGGCTTATCTGCGTCTCTTTTCGCGCCAATGGACGCCGTGTTTGGGGGTGGAGCCGAGTTCTCGCGAGTCCGTTTCTTCCTGAAGGATCCACTGGCGTGGCCGTGTGTCCGAGTCGGATGATCGATTGGGGTCTTCCGAGGATATAGATGGGGCTCTTGGTAGTTGGTAATTGGCTGGCAGGCCTTGCGCTAATAATCGGTCCATGTCGTACAGCTGAACGATGCGCGCAGTTGCGTCCTAACTCCTGTCAAGTTCGAGGGTCTGCAGTGTTCTCAGAAGTCTTGGAATAACAGTTAAATGTGGTACAATCTGCAGTTATTATTAGAAGCACGTCTAGACTGTCTTAATCCTTGGGAAAACGTGGCTAATTGCGCGGTCCATGGGATTTATGACTTTATAAAATCCACGTGCCTACCTAAACAGGTCTATTGACATTCTACAGGTCGCTTTAGTTTCCCCGGGTTTATGGACACCTTATTTTCGACGGTGAAATTTCCAAACCATTCGAACAATGGTTATACTCCAATAAAACGAACGGTCTAAACGCACCACTTCCTCAATTCCGTGTATAAATAGACCGAACCGATCTATTGGCACTCTATGGCTGTCAAGCATCAACCTTCTTGCTCTCGAGCACGTGCAGTTCTTGCAATACGAATTTTCAATCGACCAATAGGCAAACATCAAAATTGCTTAGCCGATCTCATAAAACCGACTCCACAAATCCATAAAATGGACCAGTTTATTGTATTCGAGCATTCCTTTATTCAGGTGCACTTTAGTCTGCTCAGGCGGTCAACAGAGAAATTCCTAAACCATTCGACCAGTCCTAAACTCCGATAAAACTTATATCTACTACCTAAATCCGCATACCTAACCTGTCTATACATATCTAGCATTATTCGTGCTCCAAGCTTCATGCACTCTGGTATCTTTCATTACCTGAACATTGGAAAATGAATTTTCCATAGCAAATTGGAAAGGTAATGTCAAACTGACTAATTGATAGATTCTCAATCTACCTAATTGACTTTTGGACTTCAATAAAACATGCCTAACTCGGATCTGTGTAAACAGATCTCGGCTTGGCATCTACCTAGACCTCAGCTTTCCATTTGTCCATTCGATACTTTATTATCTATTGGTTTTTCAGGACATTCGAATTACGTACGATACGACTGGTCGGGAACGTGCATAAATCATTCGCGAAACGAGATCTCCGGACATCTCCGATCTTCGCTGTCCTCCGGCGAGAAAGATAATCATCGGAATATGCACCCCTGCCGCACGATCATGCTCACCGAGCGATCCAGGAAGAAGTTGATCCCGCAGGATCTTTCGGCAGACGGCGACCGTGTCGCAACAACGTCTGGCGGAGCCTCTGTCGTCCCTTCGACAACCTTCGACAACCCCTTGCAGAAAGGGGTTTTCGAGGGAATTGGGCGAGCATCAATATTAATGGAGGCACGTGGCGTTCGGGAATAATGTAGTTGGTTGAAAGTCGGTGACCCGTGCACGCACGATATCGTAACCATAATGCTCTCGCTTAGATCGGTTACGACACGTAATTTCAATCACGTTCGTCGCATTACCGCCCTCATTACATGCTCCTGTAAATCGTGGCGCGTGTGCGTATGGAAAATGGCCGATCTGAATAATGCTCGACGTTCTGGGCGAATAGACTGCCAAACGGAGACCTATGTTTTGGTACCATTATTATGTTCTTTTGGCATCGGTGATAGTATCATTACAGTGGATCCTAGTGGGATATTGGATCTGTCAAAATCCAGATTCATGATCATTTTAAATCCCGAATATTCCACAACTTTCATACTAATTTCTTAGAAGAAATTGGAAAAGGAGACCTATATTATGGTACAATTCCCCATATTGCAGTGGTATGGATGATTGTATCATTACAGTGGATCCTAGGTGGAATTTTGGATCTGTCAAAATTCAGATTTATGATCATTCAAAATATCGAATATTCCAAAATTTTCACACTAATTTCTTAGAACAAATTGCAAATGGGAGAGCTATGTTTTGGTCAAATTTTCTATGTTTCATTATGTATCGACGATTGTATTATTATAGTGGGTTCTAGGTGGGATTTTGGATCTGTCAAAATCCAGATTAATAATAATTTAAAATTCCGTATATTCCACATTTTTTAACACTAATTTCTTAAAAGAAATTGCAAAAGGGAGACCTATGTTTTGGTCAAATTCCTTATGTACCCATGGTATAGATGATTGCAACATTACAGTGAATCCTAGGTGGGATTTTGGATCTGTCAAAATCCAGATTAATAATAATTCAAAACCCCGAATATTCCACATTTTTTAACACTAATTTCTTGGAAGAAATTGCAAAAGGAAGTCCAATATTTTGATCTAATTTCTTATATCCCATTGGTATTGGTGATTGTATTTTTAGGGTGGTTTCTAATCGAAATCTAGTGGACCTAAAAAAATCCAATTACTTGATAATTCAAAATCAAGAATGCATCTAATTTTTCACACTAAATTCTTAGAAAAGATTGCAAGAAGGAGACCTACGATTTAGACTAGTTTACTAGGTTTCATTGGTATCAGTGATTAGATCATTAGAATGGATCTCAGATAGGATTTTGGATCTGTCAAACTGCAATTACGCGATATTTCAAAGCCCCGAATACGTCTTACATTAATTTCTTAATTTCCGAAATCTGGAACGCGCGTGAAAGGGAACGAGGTTCCTCGAGGAATTCCGATTGGCCCTATCGGCGCGCCAAGCTCGAAGAGCGAATTAGCTCGTCAGAAGGAAGGAGAGAATTCAAATTTAATCATGCCTACAGCCTTCGCTGTTCTACTACGCACGGGAAGTGGCATTATTAGCTTTCGAATCGAACCAATCGAGCCGCTTCCTTATTAAGCCCCGCGGCATCCCCTTTTCCATCATACGAACCCACGAAGGCCTCTCTTCTCCCTTCTCCGCCCTTCGCCGCCCTTTTTTAATTCCACATCTACATTTCCGATGGAAAATTTTACCTCGTCCCTGCCACTTTGTGTAATTCTTCACGGATGGTAATTCTGATCGGGGTGGCGTTCGTCGATCTCGCGTCGGGCATATCGATAATACTTCTGGGGGCCGATGTTACAGGATTGACGAGGCGAATAGCCTAATTTTCCAGAAGGCGCTGATACTGAATTTCAGAAGCTTGTGAAAGGTACAGGCAATTTATTTGAAAGCCTGGTTTCCATGTTGAGATGGTAATTATTTTTCTAAATTATGGGATTATGATGACTGATAAGTGGTGATAGATTTATTCGGAAAATTGGATAATTGTTATATAAAGTTGAAATTGAATATTGGAATTGGATAAGTTGAACGTGTGATTGATCGTATTGTCTTTAAGGAGGTTCATAAGATTTAAAAATTGCACGATTATTAGGAGTGTTCGATATTCTTTGGGTAATTCTGAATTTTATTAGAGAAGTGTGGTTATGACAGAAGCCAGAGGAACAAGTTAGCACTATGAGCTATTAAAAGAGAATGTTTGATGACTTACCCGTTAGTTGTTGCGTCAAACACGTCATTATAGTCTTCGTCGGTGCTATAGTCCTGAACGTCCGGATCCAAGTTCTCGACGTCGCCATTTCCACCTGTAAAAGAATATTTATCTGTAAGTGTCATGAATAATCTAATTTACGATGATGAATACAGTTCTAGAAAGTAATCAATTTCATAGAAATTACTTTCGAAAATTAATCTACATTCCTCATTTTCAAATCTCCAAGTGGATAATTATGATCTATAATAACATCTATTAAAACAATTCAATGACTCTATGAATTCTATGAATTCTATGACTACTATGAATTCTACGAATTCTATGGCAATTCTATGAATTCTATGGCAATTCTATGAATTCTATGGCAATTCCACGAATTCTATGTCAATTCCACGAATTCTATGTCAATTCTACGAATTCTATGGCAATTCTAAGAATTCTATGGCAATTCTAAGAATTCCGTGGCAATTCCACGAATTCTGTGGCAATTCCACGAATTCTATGCCAATTCTAAGAATTCTACGAATTCTATGGCAATTCCACGAATTCTATGGCAATTCTATGAATTCTATGTCAATTCTACGAATTCTACGAATTCCATGACAAATCCACGAATTCTCCACAATTTAGCTACAAAATCTCACTGCATACGGCATCCTTGATAATTATCAATTAATTTATTAATCGCAATATTTAGATCGATGACCACCGAGGTATATTCCCCGGATTAATCCTAATTCTTACTGAAGCGACCCTCAGTAGGCCTCAAGATCGATCAGGCTTCCAAGCCGCAAGCATGCCAGGCACACTCTAGTCCGCGTCTCGAGTTATCCAACTGCCTAACAACGGGACGGCCAACTACACTGAACACCGTTGGCGTTCGATGTTTCGTACACCTGCGCAAATATCGCGTCAGCAGCCGTCTCACCAAGGTGCCAGCGATCATCCTGAGCCGGTTCACGCAACACAGAAACCCGCGATCTTCGCCAGGCGAAACGCGATCGGCCTCCGCAGTCCAGCGTCACGTCACCTTCAACCAGCTAACTCCATTACCTTTCTAATATTTCACAAAAGCGATAATGAACGACATGCACGAGCCTGGCGCTGTGGCGAGACGTTGGAGACGTTGGGTGCTGCATGGAGTAAGAACATAAGAAATGTGGACTCTTTTTAATTAAGAATAAAAAGGATTTGGACTCTTTAGGTAAATACAAAAAGGCTTTGAGTTAGGTTTGGGCAAGGCTAAAAAGGATCTGGACACTTTAGGTAAGAGTAAAAAGGATTTAGCTTAGGTTTGGGTAAGACTGAAGAGGATTTGGACTCTTTGGGTTAGACTAAAAAGGATTTGGACTCTTTAAGTAAAAATAAAAAGGATTTGAGTTAGATTTAGGCAAGACTGAAAAGAATTTCGTCTCTTTAGGTGAGACAGAAAAGCATGTGGACTATTTGGGTTAAACTAAAAAGGATTTGGACCCTTTAAGTAAGGATAAGAAGGATTTGGGTTAGGTTTAGCCAAGGCTAAAAAGGATTTCGACTCTTTAGGTAAAAACAAGAAGGATTCGAGTCAGATTTAGGTAAGACTGAAAAGAATTTGGGCTCTTTGCATTAGACTAAAAAGGATTTGGACTCTTTGGGTTAGCCTAAAGAGGATTCGATTCCTATTTCTCAGATGGAGGATTAACGAGTACGAATTGTATATAATATTTTAATATTCTACACACACTGTAGCATATAAGAACTAGCTTAGTACTCGTTTAGAAGGATCACAAGCTGAGGTTTTAATCGAGTGCATGTCCACGTGGTTTTATATGTCTCGGAGCCTGATGGTTACGATAATGTCTCCTAATTTTGGCCATGCTCCAAGAGGTCGTGATTCAGGTCTTACTTTCTGCAGCTGACATCTACTAGGTACTTGGCCAAGGTCTGCTTGAGTGACTAGACATCAACGTCGTAATGAATAATACCTCACGCAGGGATTCCATCGTCGGACTTGTTCATGATCCAAAATTAGGGGCTGGATATCAAAGGATAAATATACCTCGGTGACCCAACGCGCAGGGACGTAAATTCGACGAACGCGAGCGCGGAGTTACTTAAGAGAGCATCAGGCCTGGGCAAAGCTCGCGTTCATAATTTGTACACACAATCATTCCTTGTTCAACGAGCGGAATCGGGCCATAATCTACGAGCCGGACTTGACATAGTAGCTTACAGGGTGAGACATCACAGAATAATCTGGATTATAATGTAATTTATCGCGGAACGATCGGTATCGCCCCATAATCTCTGACACCGTAATCTAAATCACATCGTGATCCCTGATGCACAGTTCGCAATAATCTGCTACCCCCTGTGATTTAAACTCTCGCGCAACCTTCTAAATCAATACCCCCCTCCGGTTTGGTACTTCATATTTCAGATTATATTTAAACCTTCTCTATTCACCGGCGAAAATCCGCGGACGCGACGGTATCTTCGATTCCATGCCAAACTCCAATTAACATTGGCATTCTGCTGCTCGTTAATCCACTAATGAGTAATTCGTCGTGGGGGGCTTTAATATAGATTACAACCGGAGAATCCGTGGGCCAGGGTCGCTCGATGTTGTAGCCAGGCGCCAGGCCAACCTATTAAATAATCCAGCGAATTATACCCCTACCCTTGGCTGCACCCCTTTGCTCCCTGCCACGTCAGCCGATCAGGTGCCAAGTGCAAATTTAAACTTGCAGCGCACTGCCTCCTCTCACTTGGCTTACCCTCTGGCTGCAAATGCCCCACCTTCCGATCTCGCAGATGATAAAGGATCTTTATTGATTATAAATAAGGGAACATCGTCTGGGCTTCCGCGAATGGCAGGTTAGGTTAAGTAGAACCTCGTCTGCGTTACTTTTGGGGACAGTAGAATGATTTATTCACGAAGATGCAGAGGGGTGGCTATGCATTCGCGATTGTACACTCGGTCTATATCGAGTCTGATGGAATATCAAGATGTTCGGATGATTATCTGATCACTCGATCAATTAAAATCGGATTACACACCCTTCCAAACTTTCCGTAGACTATGATCCCTAACTAACCTAAGTTTCCTTAGGAAAAAGGTACTCCTCCGACCAACTATCCCAAAGAATCTCAGCTCAAGACCCCTACCACCATCGAGGAGTCACGCGAGCCTTCGAAAACTCAGCGAGAAGCCCCAAAAAGTCAGTCGTTGCTTCCCAAATCTGGCTTCTGTTTTCGAACATGGCCAGCACGGGCGACAGTGGTAGCTCATAAAAAGCAGACATCCCGTATGACAGACTGGGGTGGAAAAACGCGTACGATTCCCCGGAGTGCTGGCGAACGGCGTGCGCGCGTAACACGCATCCAGAGAGGGCCAATAAAATCGAACGCTATTGTACCACCCCCACCCCCGTCCTTTCTTTTTGTTTGTGTTTATTTGCTTTCCTTTTTTTCCCCACCATCCCCCGTCTCTATTTCGCTTTTGTTCCTCCGTGAAAGCCGAGTATTTTCGCCGAGTTAAACCCCCTGTAACAGGAAGGGAGGGGGTGGTTGAACGGCGAACCGAAATGAGGATTTAATTTTGCGAAAATGCTGTTTTTGCGATATCTTTTGTGGCGGTGACTGATGTAAATTGTAATCGGACGATCGGGGATGGTTTATCGAATTTTTCGCGGGCCTCTGTCTGTTACGTGAGCGGAAAAACGACGGGGGTTGAACAGGGTGGGTGTCGAAATTCGGTGAGATTGATTTCGCGTAATACACAGCTGTCTTCTTTAGCGTAACTGTTCCTGGAATGATAATTACGTCGTTTATTTACGTCATTAATTTACGTCGCTTTAAAATTTTGAGGAATTTTAAGGAATTAAATATGAGGTAGTTTTAGAGTATTCTTTGTCTGACTTCCGGGTAGAGTTATCTCGGTCTCTCGTGTGGTATAAGTACATTCTCGGGTGATTTTAATAACGTCCATATAGCAGGTTGCCGCAAATGTCCGCTCGTCGAGGGTTTTTAATAAATCGTGATGTGAAAAGGGATTTAATTTTACTCGGGACAGGCGAAGGAATAACGCCGGAACGAAAGTAATAAGGTATTAAAAACGAGTCTATTTCCACGGTTGTACACACAAAGCCGCCCCTTTAATTCTCTATTTGCAACCTAAACAAACCCGACAAAGTTTTAAAGCTCAATCATGTGTACCCAGCACTTCAAAGGGCCCCGTTGACGAGAACACGATTACGTCAGAACGTTTTTATTTATTCGTCGCTGCGAAGCTGGTTACATTTTTCCCCTTTCCCCTTTCCTCTCGCTTTATCCGTCGAATTTTGTTCATTCCAGGCGTACGTGGTCGGCATTTAAATCGCCGGAAAATGCCAGGGATTCGATGGCCACGGGTCCGGTGACATCGATAACGAGCCTTTATCTGTACAGGCTGGCTATGGTTAAACTGACTAATAAAAGTTCTTACGGTCGTAAAATCGAAGCAAGTCTCTAAAATCGAATTTCCTATTTTAATCTGTAATCCTTTAAACCGATTAAAAGAGAAATAGGAAATAACAGATCAGAATTTTGTATTTAATCTCCATCCTCTTTAATTAAATCCTATTACCAATGAGATCGTATATGTATAGACGAAAAATTTGCGAAAAAAAATATTCTACGAACATTATGACACATGTAGTATGAAGAAAAATGAGAGATTACATATGTAAAATTAAAAAATAATTCAACCAAGTATACGATATCTACCGATAAACGTCTGTCGTAGATATGAGCCGTGGTGGCGCTAGTGAGTTAAATGGAAAGTCTTCTCAAGGCTCGCTAAGTGCTTACTCGTGAAGGGGTTAGGTTGGGTAGAAGAATATTATTATCTTCTTATCGTTTTCAACCAGAATATTAATTTTACTTTTAGTTATTAGCTATCACTGGAATTTATACATACTTTTAGAAAATTTTCTCTGGTAACGACACGAATAAATTGAAATTTCGTCTGCAGAATCAAGAGACACTCTCGATGTAATATTTGGGGGAGCGTGTTTTCCAAGTCACCGGGCAGACGCGCGTTTTCCAATTCGTTTCGAGGTCGTAAAAACT